CTTTCTCCTGCTCTTCCAGCCTGCTACTCTGTGCTATGCCTGTGCTTACCTTGCTCCTGGAGACCCGGTCCCTCTCGGGAGGGTAACAAGGGAAAGTGTTCAGTGCATATTCACAGGTTTTGGGATTAGAATGTCGACTTAAAAAGAAACAAAACAAAGCTGTTTATTGTGATTTCAGTAGAAGTATACAGAGCAAATTTGTTTTCCTTTCAACAATTTATACACACGTCCTGCCTTCTAAACTATATCCCTGGGCAAATACTGCTCTTTGTCTCTCATATGGTTGATTGTTCTAAGGGGTGTATGCTTCCCTGGTGTAATTGTTCACTTTTAAGCCTGTCACTGTTTGGCTAGGAGCTCTGGTAGTATAGTGCCTAAGGCACTTGACTATTAACCAGAAGACTGGCCACCCACCAGCCACTCCTCGGAAGGAAGGTTGGGTAATCTGCTTCCTTAGTGATATCGCCTCAGAAACCCAAGGAGGAGTTGCTATGAGTTGGGACCAACTCGACGGCACATAACAACAACAACGTTGGTTGACTGAAAGGTAAACCATGGAGAAGTTCAGTTCCAGACATGAAGGGTAACTAAACGTCATAGTCTCAGGAGTTCCACCAGCTCCATCAGACCAGTAAGCCTGGTCTTTTTTAAATTTTGTGTTTGGTTCCACATTTTTCCCACCCTACTCAGAATTTTCTACTGTGATCTCTTTCAGAGAAGTCAGCAGTGGTAGCATGATACCATGCTGTTCCTCTGGTCCCTGGGTTGTGGAAGATGAGGTTCATGTTGTCCATTAGTCCTTTGGATTGTCTCCTGTGTCTTTGATTTCCCTCACTTTTCTTTGCTCCAGATAGGGAGAGACAAATAGTTGCACCTTAGATAGCTGTTCATAAACTTTTGAGATCTAATATCTATCACTTAAGTAGGATATATATATTTTTTGTGGACTTTGTTCTGCCTATTGACCTAGATGTCTCCAGCAACTATGATCCTGAGTTCCCAGGATCAGTGATTCATTCCCTCAAGGTGTTTGCTTATGGCTAAGAAGTTTTAATAATTTTGCCCCCGTATGCTCTACTATCTACCACTTATCTGTCACCTTGTCATAGTGTAGTGGCTTGCATGTTACTGTTATGCTAGAAAGCTATGCCACCGGTATTTTAAATTCCAGCAGGGTCACTCATGGTGGACAGGTTTCAGTGAAGCTTCCAGACAAACTTTTTCACAATGTTAAGTCTTCCTATCCTTGAGCATAATATATTTGTCCATTTATATAATTCTCTTTTGGTTTCTTATAGAGGGGTTTTGTACTTTTCTTTTGTAGGTCTTTTGTATCTCTGGTTAGATTTTTTTCCTAAGTACTTCATCTTTTTTTTTTTTTTTTTTTTAAGACAGTCTGGTGGCACAGTGACTAAGGCATTTGTCTGCTAACCAGAAGGTTTGTGGTTCAAACCTACCAGCCACTTTGTGGAAGGAAGAAAGGGCAATCTACTTTTGTAAAGATTTACTACCCTGGAAAGGAAATGGGAGTCACTATGAGTCAGATTCAACTAGATGGCAGTGGGTTTACTTCATCTTTTGAGTAGCTATTGCAAATGGTATTGTTTTCCTGATTTCCTTTTCTCTTTGGTAGTATAGAAGAATCCAACTGTTTTTTACATGTTGATCCTGTATCCTGCCACTTTGCTGAATTGTATTATCTCCAGTTGTTTTCTTGTCAAGTCTCTGAGATTTTCTATTTATAGGATCGTATCATCAGCAAATAGAGATAATTTTACTTCTTCTTTGCAATTTTGGATGCCTTTTATTTCCCTTTCTTGCCTTATTGCTCAGGCTAAGAATTCCAGTACAGTACTGAATAGGAGTGGTGCTAAAAAGCATCCTTCACTGTTTCCCATAAGCAGGAGGAATGCTTTCAGCTTCTCTTCATTGGTAATAATGTTAGCTATCTGTTTTGTGTATATATCCATAATTACATTGAGTAATTTCCCTTCTATTCCTATTTTGCTGAGCATTTTTATCAGAAAGGAGTGTTGGATTTTGTCAAATGACTTTTCTGCATTGATTGACATGATCACGTATGTGTTTCCTTTCCTTTGTTTTATTTATGTGATGAATTTCACTGATTTTTTCCTAAAGTTTAGCTATCCTTGCATACTTGGTATAAATCCCACTTGGTTGTGATGATTTTTGGATATTTTGTTGGATTCTATTAGTAGGATTTTGTTTAGAATTTTTGCATCTATGCTCATGAAGAACATTGGTCTATAATTTTCTTTTTAGTGCTATCTTTGCTTGTTTTTGGTATCAGGATTATTCTTGCTTCATAAAGTGAGTTCAAGAGTATTCCATCCATTTCTATGTTGTGGAATAGTTTGAGTAGAATTGGTGTGAAGTCTTCTCTGATTGTTTGGTAGAATTTGCTAGTGAAGGCATATGTTTTTTCCAAAAACTCCAAACTCACTGCCCTTGAGTTGTTTTTGATTTGTAGTGATCCCTCCATAGGTTTCTGAGGCAGTATCTCTATGGAAGTAGATTGCTCAATCTTCCTTCTGAGGAGTGGCTGGTGGGTTTGAACCACCAGCCTTCTGGGGAATTTCTTAATGACCTGTACAATTTCTTATTTTGTTATGGGTCTGTTCAAATGTGTGATCATTTTTGAAACACCATTATTTTGATTAGTTCTCTGGATGGTGTAAACATTCAAACACCAATACTAACCTAACATTTGCAGGTTTGAACCCAGCCAGTGGAACCACAGAAAAAAGTCCTGGCAATTACTTCCATAAAGATTATAGTCAAGAAAACTTTATAGAGCAATTCTACTCTGTAACACATGGAATTACTATGAGACAGGATCAACTTGATGGCAACAGATTTTATTTTTTTGTTTATTGCTTTATGTACTGTAAGGAATGCATTATTATTGCCTGATGATGTAGAAACTGAAACTTAGAGAGCTCAAGTAACTCATTCAATATTAAGCAGCAAATAAGTGGTAGGTTGGGATTTGGTCCTAGATTTTTCTTATGACAAATTCCTTGCTTTTAATCATTGTTGTTGTTGCTGTTGTTGTTGTTATGTGCTGACAGGTCGGATCCAACTCATAGCGACCCCTCCTTGGGTTTCTGAGGCAGTATCACTATGGAAGTAGATTGCCCAACCTTCCTTCCGAGGAGTGGCTGGTGGGTATGAACCATCAGCCTTCTGGTTAGCAGTCAAGTCCTTAGGCACTACACTGCCAGAGCTCCCTTTTTATCATTAGGGTGTCTATTTCCCTTTTAAGTTAGAGAAACAATTGCATTGCACAAGTTTGAACAACTAGGATTGAAGTATCCTTTATTTAAAGTCAGAAAAATCATTGAAATCCATTTAGAAGGATCCTACCCAAGGAAATGTTTAAATGACACCATAGTAGGTTCATGATGTTCAGTTTAGGCACTATCGATATTCTGCTTATCTACTGGAGTATGTATTATGAGTATCTGTATGCTACTGGGTTTATCATGATCCTAACAAAGAACTATGAGTTACTTGTCTTTGTATTCAGTGACTCAGACCTGTGGCTCTGATAGTCATGATTATAGAAGTGTTAAGACATGGCAGGGGTAAATACAAGGCAGAACCAGTGAATGAGTCAACATAAGTTTGGTTATTCTGTGGTAATAAACAACCCCAACATATCAGTGGCTAAATGCCACAGAAGCTTATTTTCCACTCACAGTACATGCTCACTGCAGAACAGCTGGGTGGGTGCTCTGTTCTATCCATACTCTTCTAAGTCAGAGACTGGCTGAAGGACCATCATCTGGAATGATGCTTGTCACTATAGCAAAGGGGAAGAAAAGAGAATTCTAAGGAAAAAATACTCTGTCCCAGAAGTGACACATGTCACTTGTATTCAAAAATTATTGGTCAGAATGAATCAAATGGCTGCCCCATGCAACCACAAACAGCTGGGTGCTCTGTTCTATCCATTCTCTTCTAAGTCAAAGATTGGCTGAAGGACCATCATTTGGAATGATGCTTGTCACTATGGTAAAGGAGAAAAAAAGAGAATTCTAGGGGACAAATACTCTTTCCCAGAAGTGACATATGTCATTTCTATTCACAGATTATTGGCTAGAATGAATCAAATGGCTGCCCCATGTAATCACAAAGGGCCAAGACATACAACCCCACCACATGCTCAGAACAGAAAGAATGGAAAATATTTGGTAAACAGTATGAATGACACCATACCTTCTCAAAAGGAAGTGGAGTTCTCTAACAATTATAACTGTTCAAACACTGATTGGTTTACCTTATGAATTAGTGAACATTCTCATCGGTGTGGTTTCAGATAGTGAATGGGTAACTCTTTAGTGTATCGTAGAAAATTTTATAACAGGCAAGGGGCTGCTCCTCCAATATTGTGTTGTATATCCCACCAGTATCTCTACTAAATAATCTCTATTCCTCAAGGAAACTTTTAAAGTGTTCTTTTCTGAGGTTCTTGTTTGTTTACAACTTGTTTATTACTGTTTTTGTTATTTACAGTAAATTTATTTATTTATTTATTTTCAGTGTTTCCTCCCCTCCCTTCCCACCCCTGGTAACCAACAAAGAAAGTTTCCTTCCATATATAAACCTTTTCTTGACTTTGTACAATAATGAATTAATACAATTTTTATCCTTCTGTGATTGACTTATTTCACTCAGCATAATGTCCTCCAAGTGTAGCCATGTTATTCGGTGTTTTGCAGATTCTACATTATTCTTCAGTGCTGCATAGTCTTCCATTGTGTGCATGTATCATGGTTTGCTTATCCATTCTTCTGTTGATGGGCATGTTGGTTGTTTCCATCTTTTGGCTATTGTAAAGAGTGCTGTGATGAACATGGGTGTGCATATATCTGTTCTTGTCCTGGCTTTCACTTTTTTAGAATATATACCTAGTAATGGGAATGAGAGATAAGATAATATTTCTAATTCCAACTTTTTAAGGAATAGCCATCCTGCTTTCCACAGTGGTTGTATCATTTTACAGTCCCACCAGCAATGTATGAGAGTCTCAATATCTCTACATCCTCTCCAGCATTTGTTATTTTCTGTCTTTTTAAACATTGCTATTAGTGCCAAGGCACTAATAATTGTTGTTTTGATTTGCTTCTCTCGATGGCACACAACAACAACAACAACAATGGCTAATTATTGTGAACATTTCTTCATGTGTTTGTTGGCCTCCTGAATATCCTCTTTGATGAAGTGTCTATTCATGTCTTCTGCCCATCTTTTAATTGGATTATTTGTCTTTTTGTTGTGGAGGTGTTAGAGTTTTCTACAAATTTTAAAGATAAGTCTCTTGTCAGATATATCACTGCCAAATTTTTTTTCCCAATCTGTAGGTTCTCCTTTTACTTTTTTGAAAAAATCTTTTGAGGCACATAAAAAATTTAATTTTTAGAAAGTCCTATTCATCTAGTTTATCTTCTGCTGTTAGTACATTTTGGGTTATGCTTGACAGTCTATTTATGCCATATATTAGGGCCCCTAAATTTGCACCTAGTTTTTCCTTAAAGAACTTTATAGTATTAGATTTCACAGTTAAGTCTTTGATCCATCTCAAGTTAGTTTTGTTTATGGTGTGAGGTACAGATCTTGTTTCATTTTTCTGCTAAATAAACATCCAGTTTTGCCAGCACCATTTTTTGAAGAGACCATCTCTTCCCCATGTAATAGATTTCTGCCCTCTGTCAAAAACCAGCTGACTATAGGTTGATGGATCTATTTCTGGGTTCTCAATTCTGCTCCATTGGTCTCTGTGTCTGTCATTGTACAAATACCAGGCTGTTTCGACTATTGTGGCTGTATAAGAGGTTTTGAGATCCAGGAGTGTGAGACCTCTTAGTTCTTCTTCTTCAATAGTGCTTTGCTTATCTGAGGACTCTTTCTTTTCCATAAAATTAGTGATTAATTTGTCCATATCCCTAAAGAATGTTGACGGAATCTGGATTGGGATTGCATTGAATGTTTAGATTGCTTAGCATAGTATTGGCATTTTCACAATGCTCAATCTTCCTATCCATGAGCATGGTATGCTCTTCCATTTATGTAGATCTCTTATGGTTTCTTGAAGTAGTGTTTTGTAGTTTTCTTTGTACAGGTCTTTTGTGTCCGTAGTGAGATTTATTCCCAAGTACTCTATTTTTTTAGGGGGAGCTATTTTAAGTAGTATTGATTTCTTTATTTCCTTTTCAGCAATCTCTTTGCTGGTGTACAGGAATCCAACTGATGTTTGAATGCTGATCTTGTATCCTGCCAGTACACTGAATCTCTCAATTAGTTCCAGTAATGATTTTTGCTGAATCTCTTGAGTTTTCTATTTATAGAATCATATCATCAGCAGATAGGGATAGTTTAACTTCTTCCTTACCAATTTGGATGTCTTTGATTCCCATTTCTTGCCTTATTGCCCTGCATAGGACTTCAAAACTATGGTGAACAAAAGTGGAGGTAGAGGGCATCCTTATCTGGTTCCTGTTCACAAGGGGAATGGTTTCAGTCTCTCTCCATTGAGAATAATGTTGGCTATTGGTTTTGTATATAGCCCTTTATAATGTTGAGGAATGTCCCTTCTATTCCTATTTTGCTGAGAGTTTTGATCAGAAATGGGTGCTGAATTTTATCAAATGTCTTTTCTGCATCAATTGATATGATCATGTGGTTCTTTTCCTTTGTTTTCTTTATGTGATGATGTTGATTGGTTTTCTAATGTTGAACTATCCTTGCATAATGATATGAACTTGGTCATAATGTACTATTTTTTTTGATATGGTGTTGGAGTCTATTGGGTAGTATTGTATTGAAGATTTTTGCATCTATATTCATGAGGGATATTGGTCTGTAATTTTCTTTTTTAACGATGTCTTTGCCTAGTTTTGGTGTCAAGATTATGCTTGCTTCCTAAAATGAATTTGGGAGGATTCCATTCTTTTCTATGTTCTGGAATAATTTGAGAAGGATTTGTGTCATTTCTTCTCTGAACATTGGTAGAATTCTCCAGTGAAACCGTCTGCACCAGGACTTTTTTTAGTTGATAATTTTGTTACGACCTGTTCAATTTCTTCTTTTGTTATTGATCTGTTCAACTTTTCCACCTCAGTCTTTGTTAGTTTAGATAAGTAGTATGTTTCTAGGAATCTGTTCATTTCTTCTGGATTTTCAAATTTTTGGGAGTATAGCTCTTCATAGTATCTTGATATTATCCTTTTATTTTCTGTTGGTTCTGTTGTGATGTCACCTAATTCATTTCTTATTCATGTTATTTTTATTGTCTGTTTCTTTTCCTTTGTTAAATTTGCCAGTGGTTTGTTAATTTTATTAATCTTTTCAAAGAACCAACTTATAGTCTTGTTGATTTTTTCTACTGTCTTTCTACTTTCTGTTTCATATAATTCTGCTTGAATCTTTATTATTTCCTTTCTTCTGGTGACTTTAGGCTTTTTTTTTTCCTGCTCTTTTTGTAATTTTTGGAAATGCTGGTTTAAGGTGTTGATTTTGGCTCTTCTTTTTTTGATGTGTGCATTTATTGCTATAAATTGGCCTCTGATTACTGCTTTTGCTTGTCCCAAAGATTTTGGTATGTTGTATTTTCATTCTCATTTGATTCAAGGAACTTTTGAATTTTATTTTTTATTTCTTCTACTACCCAGTCATTCTTAAGGAGGGTGTTGTTCAGTTTTCATGTGTTTGCTCTTTTTCCATCGATCTTCCTATTCTTGATTTCTAATTTGATAGCATTGTGACCTGAGAAGATGCTTTGTGGTATTTCAATGTTTTTATATTTATTGAGGATTGCTTTATGGCCTGACATATGGTCTATCCTGGAGAGTGTTACATGTGCACTGGAAAATAATGTATATTGTGCTGTTGTTGGATGAAGTGCTCCATAGATGTCTGTAAGATCAAGTTGGTGAATTGTATTGTTCAGTTCTTCTGCGTCTTTGTTGAGTTTCTTTCTAGTTGTTCCATCTTTCATTGAAAATGGTGTATTAAAGTCTCCTACTATGACTGTGGAGTCATCTGCTTACCTTTTCAATTCTGTTAAAGTCTGATTTATGTATTTTGTGGTTCTTTCCTTGGGTCCATAGATATTTATTATGATTGTATCTTCTTGTTCAATTGATCCTTTAATCATTATATAATTGACTTCCTAGTCTATTATGGTGGGTTTTGTCTTAAAGTCAGTTTTATCAGAAATTAATATTTCTATTCCTGCTCTTTTATGGTTGCCATTAGCTTGATATATTTTTTCCAACCTTTGATTTTTAGTCTGTTTTTGTCTTTGTCTCTAAAGTGTGTCTCTTGTCAACAGCATACTGATCAGTTATGTTTTCTTATCCAGTCTGGAACTCTCTGTCTCTTGAGCGGTGCATTTAATCCATTGACTTTCAGTGTAATTATTGACAAGTATGACTTTGTTGCTTTCATTTTGTTATGTTTTTT